TTTTCTTTATGTTTTCCAACTAAATCTGCAAAACATGATCTCATGCACATTCCAGAATTTCTCATTAGAACCACAAATACGACAGGACCAACGGTCAAAGCCTTTGTATCATGCACTGCCTTCCCTGATGTACCCTCTGGACAGTTTCTTATGGTTCTTGAACAGGCAATAGCTAGCATTGTTTCTAAATAAAATAATAGTATTTATAATACTGAAGGATAATTCTTCAAAATTTGACAGACATGCACCTCAAACAGCGTGCTAATAAATAAATAAATAAAGATATTACCTGAATTAGAATTTCCAAAGCAAGACCTATTTAAGCTCCTGTACGTGTCCAGGAATTTCAGCTACTTTGGCATAAATACATTAATACTCTTCCCTTCTTGTAATGGAATGCATTACAACATTGTAAATACTGGACAATATAATGCACCATTTTCAGAACAAACTTTTCAAATGTATTCTCCACCAGCCTATTTAAAATTCACAGATCACTTAAACAGTTTGACATGTAGCGATAATTTTACAGTATCCAGGATGACGACATGGTAACGCCTCATTGGGATGTTTACTTGGGGATACAAAACTAGCTTTAAATTACATCTTTCATGCAGGATTTGAACAGACATCTTACTAAGAACATTGACAGAGGAATTATCTCTATTGATATTATACACTCCTGCTTACAAACAGAGTTAATACCCTTCCAGTGTAACATCCACTCATGTGTATTAACTATACCTGCAATCTTTATGGCTACAGGATCCTCCGAAACTGGAATAGGTCCCTCTTTGACTTCAACCTGTTTTTCAGGGACCAAAGTAGATGTGGCAGGAGGGGTATACTTAGTCTCAACATAGACCACAGATGTGGAAGCAGACGGCTTGGAACTGTGAAAAAGACTAGCCCACGACTTTGCAGGCTGATTAATAAGGACTGATCCTGCAACCGGGACTGTTGCCTCAGTAGTAGGTGAAGCTTCCTCAGGCTTAGCTTGGTCTGAGTCAGTGCTTTCCACAGCATGCAATTCTACCCCACTGGCAGCTGTGTCCTCACCAGAGGATTCAAGTGTTTGTCCATTAGTAACACCAAGATTTTCAGTAGTATCAGCACCAGCATAAGACTGTACAACAGCTGTCCTTAAAGGGCTATCTCTGCCAGTCTCTGAGGGGATGCAAAACTGTTCAGAATTAGTAACACAGCATATCTCAGGCTGCTCTGTAGTTCTGGTATTGTCTAGTGCACTAGAAACAGAATTATCAGAGACAGCTTCATTAATGAGGTCCACAGAGTTGTCCGGGCTGTTTAAAGTCCTTGGTGTGGCCAGTGAAGGTATGTCTCCCATCAGTTCTGTATCCTCTGCGCTTATACTGTTTAGTCCCGAGGAATTTGCATGGCCATTTACAAGAGCTTCTGTGGGAGCAATGCTGTCACTGACATCTTCTAAGTAACTGTAGTATCCAGGTGGTCTTTTTTTCTTCTTTTTACGCTCCCTTTGTCCAAGACCATCACTTTCAGTGTTAGAACCACTGTCCAAAGTGAGGTTTGGATCAGTGAACTGGCAGTCAATGGAGTTGTAGTTTGTTTCACTGAGAGTATCAGGGGTTTTCTGAGCAGGTGCACAACCAAGAATGAATTCTGGAGCCTGAGGATTCAGAGTACTTGAAATACTGTAATCTATGTTATTTAGTACAGATGACTGTGTCTCAATAACCTCATTAACACCAAATTCAATTCTCTGGTACTCTTCCCCTGGACAAGAGAAAGGAAACCTGAATTAATGAATGACACCCAATCAAAAAACTACAAAAAAAAAAACGTCAAGAAAACAACCCCATATTTTCCTACATCTCAGAAAACAAACTACATTCCCTCAAATTAAAATAATTCTTATTCTCTATCTCAATCCTGAAGACTATTTCAAAACACCATTTTGTTAAAGATAACAGAGTACGATTCAGATTTTCTTACACAGGGTATGTAATTTCCCAAACCACTGCACAATTCCTGCATATGACTAACACCTATTAAGAAAAACTATTAAGGCCCAATGACTTCAGCAATAATTTGCATTAATTACTGGATAACTGTGTATAAAATGTGGTGCAATGCTGTAACTTCCCACTTCTTCTAAAGCCAGTCTTTTCCACTGACAATTACAAAATCCAAGCCTTCACCTGTTTAACTTTTAAAAATAATTTCCACATGTGGAGTTTGGTGTTGGGGTGGTGTGGTTTGCTTTTCCTGGTGTGTAAAGATTCATCATAATCCTTAATAACTGAAAAAGTTTTCATTAATTGTATGGAAACAAGGCAATTATATCTTTTGAAACTCTAGGCTAAAAAAAAAATTATGAACAGGTTTGGGTTATTTTGGTTTGTTTTTTGTTTTTTTTTTTTTTATTTATTTATCTACCTTGGAACTTTGACATGCTCTTTACAGAAAGTCTAAGAAATACTCTCCTGGCAGGCTACAGTACCACAAAATATTGTCAGTCACAAAGTACTGCAATTTCATGGAACCTAGTTTCATAATGCATGTGAGGTAACTAGCAACACTGAATACTTCAGTTACAGAAATTTTCATAACTATCAAATAAAGAGATAAAATTGGTGAAACTGAGTCTCAGAATGTTAAAGGTAAACTCATATTTTAGCACTTAAAAGTTTTGTAGGTCTTTCAAAAGGATATGTATATTACTGTCTCAAAAGACATTAATTTTAGTATTTTCTGTTTCCTCAAAGACAAGGGAGCTAAAAAACACATTTCAGAGTTTTAAGAGTGTTACTAGAAAACCAAACAACACTAAATACTATTTCCAAAAGCAGTGTAAGTTGATGCACTGCTAAACTTTAAGGATTTTGTGCAACTTACATTATGTATGACACATCAGTACATGCATACTTCCAAGTATACCACTATATTTTGGCTTGTTTCCTAAAAAAAAACCAAAAACCAAAAAACAAACCAAAATAAACAAAAAAAATGCCAAATCCAACAAAAAAAACAAAACAAACCAAAAGAGCCAAACAACAAACCCCAAAACAAAAAAATAAAACCCACCACCACCACAACAAAAAAAAAAAAAGGCAAGCAACAGTTCAGGGGGGTGGGGGGAGAAGGTTATTTGCACACCTAAGGAAATAATCACATGGGAGCACAGAGGCTAGTGGAGAATGTTTTGATAGATAACTGTCAATGTAACTATTTTTAAATACTCCAAATACTTTCTAGAAAAGTTTGCTAATGAAAATTTTAGCTTTAGAAAAAAAATTTGGAACAAAAAAAAAAAAGAAACAATCTACAGAATACATATTTAACAAACATTGTGTGTTGAGGCCTGACTTACACACGCAATACCAACATATTATGAATTAATAAACAAAGATATATATAATAGTGTTAATTACTTTTCTGTTTTGATCTTTTAACTGAGTAGTAAATACATTTCACTTATCAATTTCAATCCTGTTGCCAGTCAGACTAAAGGAAACAAACAAAAAAGATGAAGAAAAACTCTCCATACCCATCTGATTTCTCTAAATCATGTTAACAAGAGCCTAAATTTCAAGTTTTCTTCACCTCACCGCTACACTCATCAGAAACCATTCTATAACACCGTGCCTGTCAATCCACCATTCAGCAAGTACTTCTGCAATCAGTGACTTGCTATCACCAACCAGAAAAGAGGGCTTAAATTTCTTTTAATACAGATCAGCAGCCTAGAGGCAGGAAGGTGGAAAGCTACTGCCTGATACCCACTGAAGAGGGAAGGTCTGGGAGATCTCAGGCATCACCTAGCTGGTTAGCAGCAGCACTAACTGGCTACCAGCCCTGTCAGGACACACAGCTCAAAACCAGCCACAGCTTCATCTGCTTGCAAATGCAGTGCACAGGATTTTAAGAGATATGGGACACAAGTCCACAACAGAACTATTCCTCATTAGTTCTTCTGCTTTTGGAGCAACTTATTAGTTCAAGCATGAACCAAAAGCTAGTTCTTTACCCTTTGTTACAATAGTACAAAGCACAAGGACAACTCACAATTCCTAGTATTCCTCTGGCCATGATAAGAATGAACGACTGGGCACATTTCAAATCCCTACCAGTTCAAAATAATCTGTGACTTCTGCTTCTTTTCCAAAACCCCAATTAAAAAATAAAAAAAGTTAAAAAAATTGCTTTGAAACAAAAAATGTGTTGAGGTAAGTCTACCACAGCCAAAAGTCAAAGTGTTCACTTCTGCACTCCTCTCCTGCTCCTCTCCAGGAAGCTTCCAGCTCTTGTGGCACCAAAAGCTAAGATAGCAAAAGCAAAAAAAATCCAAGTTTTATTTTCCTAATTTTAGTGGATTTTACAGTGTTCTGTACAACAGACAATCACAAAAGCCAACTCAGGACAAGTGAGGATCAGAAAACAAAACACAGCCCTTACAATTACAGCACACTGGTAATTTAGCTGAAAGTCCAACATGAACATCGTAGGCTAAAACCTTGCTAAGAGCATAACCGATATTAAACTTTACACACTACAGCAGGATCAGAATAATAAATACCAGTAGCTACTGTACAGTTAGTCTATGGAATGATTGGCAGAAGCTCATTTGCCATAAGATTGTGTCAGGTTCATTTAAAGAAAATGAGAGGTCATTTTTTCTATTTGTTTTGACTTTCCACTTTGCTTCTGGGAATCTTTGTTTCAATCTACTTCACAGTGCTGTTCCTGAATGGACTGAAACAGATATATCTGTCATGAACAAAATGACACACACATTAAAACAAGTATCAACAGATTCTCCGAGGACAAATTCTATGTACTATAGTGCCCTAGGTATAGCTGTAACATTTATTTTTCTCCTTCTTAGTAGCTGGTGCAGTGCTGTATTTCAGCTTTAGTCCAAGAAAAATGCTGATAACACATCAATGTTTTAGTTGTCGCTAAGTAGTGCTTACCCCGATCAAAGACTTTTCAGTCTTTTATGCTCTGCCAGTGAGAAGGGGCACAAGAAGCCCAGAGGAAACAGACAGGACACCTGACCCAAACTAGCCAAAGGGGTATTCCATACCACAGCTCGTCATGCCCAGTACAGAAACTGGGGGGAGTTACACAGAAGGCCCAGATCACTGCTTGGGTCAGGCTGGGTATTGGTCGGCAGGTGATGAGCAATTGCATTGTGCATCACTTGTGTTTATTGTTTTCCTTTCCCCTTTTAATTTTATATTCTCTCCCCTTGTTATTTCCCTTATAACTATAATTACTGGTAGTAGAAGTACTTTTGTATTTGTTGTGGTTTCAGCCCAGCCAGTAACTCAGAACTATGCAGCCAATTGCTCACTCCCCCACATCTTCCTCCCCCCACCCCCAAAGGGATGGGGAGAAGAATCAAAAGAACTCCCACAGGTTGAGATAAGAACATTCCAGTAACTAAGGTATAACACAAAACTACTACTTCTGCCACCTATAAGAATAATGAAAAGAGAAATAACAAGGGAAGAGAATATAACCGGTCACCACCCACCCACCGATACCCAGCCCAACCCGAGCAGTGAGCTCACCCTTCTGGGTAACTGCCCCCAGTTTATATACTGGGCATGATGTGCTGTGGTATGGAACACCCCTTTGGCTAGTTTGGGTCAGCTGTCCTGTCTCTGCTTCCTCCCAGGCCTCCCCTCCCTCCTGGCAGACCATGAGACTCAGAAAGTCCTTGGTCAGAGTAAACATTACTTAGCAACAACTAAAAATATCGGTCTTATCAGCGTTGTTCCCAGGCTGAAAGTCAAAAACACAGCACTGCACCAGCTACTAAGAAGGAGAGAAATGACTGCTACTGCTGAACCCAGGACAGTACTATACTTTAATAACTGGAGTGTTCTTATCTCAACCCGTGGGATTTATGTTCTTTTGATTCTCCTCCCCATCCCTCTGGGAGTGGGGGGAAGGGAAAAAGGTGGGGAGCGGTAGAGCAGCTGAATGGCTCCGAGTTACAGGCTAAGCTTAAACCATGACATATAGCAAAAACTGTGAATACATATACTAATTAGTCTGAACAGAGCTCTGCATATTAGAGCTTCATCTGTGATGTAATTATTCCTAGTATGTATTAACAGATCTAATTCTGTAATAAAGTTAAATACTGAAGTACAGAAAAAAAAAATTATGGGGAGTAACTCTGTCAGTGTGCACCATCTTATTGTAATTATAATTACTCTGCATAAGCACAGCATTCCATTTTCATTTCTACAGCTTCTTATGCAGCCATTACAGTGATAATATGCATGCACAGTACAGTGCAAGCTTATTAAAGACATTTTTCAGGCAAAACTTAATTTGCTGTCATTACCTAATCTCAGGGCTGGGAGGGGTTCTCTCAGGGTCTAGGAATGATCTGAAAAACATTTGTACAAACCAACTTCCTGTATGGCTAGTGAACATTAAAATCTCAGTCTTAAAGAACAGAACTTAAATCCACAGTTAGACAAAGCAATATATGACTGGACACCTCTATCATCAACGAGAGACAATTCATACTATATGGTCCTTTTGATGAACTTTTCAAACTCCTATTAAAAATACTCAGGGTCCTAAACCTAGACTTGTACTGGAGCTCCTCAATTTTCAAAAATGTTGTATACCTGCTTTCACCTGTTTTATGACTGGCTCTTATTTTCCTTTATATGCAAGGCCAAAGCTGCTAAGCATAATGATCATGTTTTCTTAAACATTAACATGTGCACTTTGGTCCTCTTAAGTACTTTTTAGAACTGTCCAGTCTGACACTTGAATTATTTTGAAGGAGATCTGGATGTCATTTGTATCACACATATACATCTGGGTAAGTCTCAGCTTCCTTGCTCTACCCTGGTTCAGGGAAAGGAAAAAAATAAAAAAGCAAGCACACACCAATTTACCTGCTGCTTAAAATAATGTTGATGCTTGGTTTAAACTATGCAGAGTGATGATCAAATACCTCCTACTTAACTGTCAACTTCATATAGCTATGAAGTAAGTCCAGTTTGTAAGGTGTATGGGTGAGGACAAGAATAGACGTATGACTGATACAGTTTTAAAACTAGAACTCTGTAATGTACTTTTACATCAAGAGTCATATCTTCACCAAAAAGGGGGAAAAAAGGGATTTTCCACAAAAATGGCTGAGCAGGACAAAAAACAAGAATCAAAGGGAACACTGAACAGAGCACTGCTTGCAGAACTGTTTTTAGGTTGCAACTGCCAGAAAATACTCATGCTAAATGCCACACTATTTACTTGTTTCTTCAGTACAAGTTCTCTAGCAAGCTTCAGCCCCCTGTGTTTTTACAGCTACATCCCACAATATTTCAAGCAAGGCACTAAGATCAGGTGGTAGCACAATCAAGGAGTAAGCATGTCTATCCTAATTAGCTGAAGTTCAATGCACTATTTTCAAATACTTTCACAGATCTCATTCAATAAAGGTTTTTAAAAAAAAAAAAAAAAACACCTGCCAAATATATGTATATATACTTGCTGAATGAGCTCTGAAGATTAAAGAAAAGCTGTAGTGAATCTAAGGGAAGTGTCACAACCTTGACGTTTAAAAAAAATGGATACTGATTTCTTACCATCATGAAACTTACCTGTGGGCTTAATACCACATGAAACTGTTTCATTGTATGGGGGGAGCTGTACAAAAAAGAAATGGAAGACAAAGCAACTCTTAACATTTGATACCAGTTTCATTTGAAACATCTGAATCCTTTAACAATAACATCATTAGTAAGGTCTGATTTTCTGAGAGTATGTCTTCTATATTTCTCAAATCCCACACTGTAGCTTCAAGAGTCCTTTCAGATTACCAGTTACTGAAAGATAAAAATTATCTTGGTTACACACCACAGGCTCATCAACTTCTCAAGCAATTTACCTCACAGCATCAGGATCTTCCTTCATCAACAGTAACTCACCATGATTTCAAAATGAGGAACATATCCTCTTTTTAGACAGAAACTAAGGTTGAACAAATGACCTGTGAAAGGATGAAACAAAGTTTTGCACAGACAATAGTCACACCTAAATTTTTCAACTCTCAACCTGGTTCAGCTATAGTGATGTCCTTGAAATGTTTCAATTAAGGTGTATTCTTAACCACATTTAACAGAAACAAAAAATTATGATCGTCAGCCTAAGTAAGTATAACCTAACCACAGCATATACTTATAAACCAGATAGAAACTATGTCTATTATAAAATACTGGCATCATTTTATAGTCTCAGTGGTCAATAGAACCCTTGCTATTGTGTAAGCACAGGTGGGCAATTTCTAATTCCCCCCTCACCTGCCTGCAAACTACCCAGCAGCTGAAAGCCTTCTCCTGTGCCTGCATGAACTGGTAGCTACTGCTACACTGCAGTCCAGCAGCTCTCTGGGTAACAGCTGAACTATTTCTGCAGTGGGAGATAAAACATTGAGTATAGTACAGTTTTATAATGCTATTCTAAATATTCATTGTAATGGTGTAACAAATATCAAAGGCTTCTCCATTAAAGTTTTCAATTCTCTAAAGTTACAGATAATTACATACTGCCTTCTTAAAGCACTGTAGACAGCAGTGCACTGGAAATGGCAAGAAAAATATTCCTAAAATTCTATTATTAAAAAGCACATAAAAAGATCACATACTGTAAATCAATTTATAAACCATACATTAACTTTCCTGGTCAAAAATTAAAATCAGTAGGTCAGAAAAGGCTCCAAGCTATTAAGAGCCTATTATCTATATGAATACTGAACACAGCTCCAATATGTTATAGTTAGAGCTAAAAAAGTTACTCGGAAAGCCTTCAGTCAGCAGTTTATGATAAAACTTGTAATTCTTGTTTTTCTCCAATTCAAAAGGCTTAAGAAAATACAAAGTAGAAAAGAAAAAAAAAAAAAAAAAAAAGGAGTGCACCTATTGGTCCCCCATGTATCTGGTTAATCAACAGCACCTATGTGAAAGCAGAGATTTAGATTTCCGAGTCGACCTGTTTCATACAACTGGGTCATCTGAGTCATCTCAGACAACAGGTATCTGATATAACATGCATTAAGAAGTCCATGTATGAAGAGACATTCTAGACAGCTTTTAGCTTTAACTAGTCCCTTGCCTCAGTCCACCCTTCAGTCTATAGGGAAGGGACTTCAGAACACCAGCATCAACAGACACTGGGAATCCCAGAACTGGCACTGCCCCCAACAGAATGTATGTCGAACACCCACCACTGCAGTATTATAATCTCAGTCTTGTCTGTCTTGAATTTCACCTTATTTTTTTTCAGACCACTTTTCTCTGAAATATCTGCACAGTGTAAAACTAATAAGCATAATTTTTATTTCATCATCCAGATAACTGAAACATTGACCTGAACCAGATCAAGGACAAACTTAAAGAACATCGTTCAATACAGTTTTTTACTTTGATAGCTAACTGGTAAGTGGTACACTTGAGACGGTTATAAAATGAAGTAATGCTGGTTCTAATCCCGTAGGTTCATGTTTCCTCAACATACTTCATGAGAATAGCTTTATAGAAGTCAAGGAATGATGCTTTCATCTTCTACAACGTAAGTATTAGCACAGCTGACGTAGGACACTTGAGGTGACACTAGACAGGATGCAAACGTCACACTGCTGCTACTGTATTTAATGGTGGGAAAACAGCAATATAGGCAAAAGAAACAGGTACTACCTGAAAACCTATTCTGCATTACTTCCCACCTACCAGAGAAGATACAAAGCTATCCCTAAAGGCAAGCAGAAGCTCTCTTTTGCTTTCTAAACTTCCCCACCCCATTCCCTTCATGCACCTTTACTGTTTAGCAGTATACTATGCTAATTATACTTAGAAAATTAAGTTGCAGGAAACTAAGTCACATTAACAATGGTCATCAGATTTGTAAAATGCGACAAAAGGATTTCCCCTTCTATAGTTGTAAGTGCTCATTTCCTTTATGTTGAGGGGGGAGGACGGAAGCATGACTTAAATGTTAGAAGGATAAACATGGAACCTAACCTAGAGAAATATTATTTTCCAAGCCTGGAAATTAGGACAATGGCATAATACTCTTCCCTACAAAGTAAAACGGTTTCTTCATTCTTTACCAAGAACTACAAAGAATAAGA